AACCTCCGTGCGTGACATGCTCGTTCATCTCTCTGTTTCCTTATTAACACCTTCGCATGCCTGCCACTGCGCTCGCTTCGTTCACCGATGAAGCCGAATCGAAACTGGTTGTTCCTTCAGAGGACGAGAGCGAGACCAAGCACCTGCAGACCCTGGATGGAGCGGACTCGCGGCTCCGGCTGTTCCAGATGGACCTCCTCGAACCCGCCTCCATGCGGCCGGCAGTCGAGGGCGCCCGCGGCGTCTTCTTCCACGTTGCTTCTCCGGTCATCCTGCACCCTACACAGGACCCCGAGGCAATTTGATCCTTCTCCATATTTAATCAGACACTGTTGAAAAAATCCATGCTGATAAATTGCTAGTCCGAGTTGATAAATTGGTGTTTCCGCTGCTTGATTGAAGAATGAGCTGGTGGAGCCTGCGTTGAAGGGCACGCTGAGCGTCCTCCGCGCCGCGAAAGACTGTGGAGTCGGCCGTGTTGTCATGGTGTCATCGCAGACGGCCATGGTGCCAAATCCTGCGTGGCCTGCTGACAAGGTCGTAGATGAGGACTCCTGGGCCGACATTGAGCAGCTCAAGAAACTTCAGGTACATGGTTTCTTTTTAGGGTCCATTCCACACTGACAGATTTGTCCAATAGAATTGCTATCTACTTGCATGCACGATCCAGTTCAGACATTCAGTGTATTAGTAATAAGCTTAGGAGTTAGGACTGTGCTAATTACATGCATATCGTTGCAGCTTTGGTACAACGTTTCTAAAACACTGGCAGAGAAGGCCGCATGGGACTTCGCCGAAAACGAAGGTTTGGAGCTCGTTGTGCTCAATCCAGCTCTGGTGCTGGGCCCTACTTTGACGCCCTCTATCACGGCTAGTCTCCAATTGTTTCTTCAGATCATGGAAGGTCAGTTGTCTGCACTGAAACAACACAAGCTTCAGGCTTGCAGCTCATTTGGTATGAGTACGTTTTTTTTTGTTCTAAGAGTGATCTTGGCAGGGAAGAGGTATGACATGGACGAGTTCTTCATTGGCTGTGTTGATGTCCGAGACGTTGCACAGTCTCTGATAGTGCTGTATGAGAACCCATCTGCCGAGGGACGCCACTTATGCCTGGAGTCCTCTCAACGGATGATCGATTTCACCGATAAACTTGCTCATCTCTACCCTGAATTTTCAGTTTACAGGTGATATATGCATCTCTTAGAACACTACCGGTCCTTTCGCCGGTTGCACATTGTTCTTCACTTGCTGATATCTTCTTTTCGCTCTAGAATCCAAGAGGACAAACAAGACTGGGTGGTGAGGGCAAAGGACCCCTCCAAGAAACTGATCAATCTGGGTGTCCGTTTCACTCCATTGGATAAAACTATCGCGGACACTATGGACTGCTTTAGGAGCAAAGGACTCGTCTAGTGCGTCACGCGGATTTCTTCAGAGGAAATGTCGAATATCTCATCCAGCTGGCTGAATGTGAAAATGTGTTGTTCAAAAACTGTTGTAAGGTGAAAATAAATTGCCAGAACGCAAATAATACATTTCTAAATGACGTTTTTTTTTCTATTTTCTTCTCCTTTCTTTCCCTTTGTTGCGTTTTTTCCAACCACCGTTGCATTTTTACATTTTTCCTTTGTTGCGATACTGCCGTCTAAGACCAAAACTTTGGCTGCTTTACAATTCATGCATACTACTATACGGAGTAGTAACTAATTCTAAGAGTGCACTGCACGCTGTGCATGCAGGTGAGAGACTTGACATGGACGCCTACCACATTGGCTGTGTAGATGTCAGAGATGTAGCACAATCTCTCATAGTGCTGTACGAGAACCCATCGGCACGCCAAAGGTCCAGTTAGATGGCTCCGACGGTACTAAGGTCCTGAGTTAGATTCCTCGCGAGGACGAATTTCAAGCTTGAGGTTAAAAAGATTTCCTCGTCTATCCCACATCAAAGTATATATATGTGACCCGTGGCTCGAGAGAACCGGCACAAGGACGCCACTTATGCCTTGAGTCCATCGAACAGATGATTGATCTCACCGATAAACGCCATGTTCGCTTGGCTTATAAGCCATACTTTATCAGCCAACGAACAATATTTTTCTCTTACAACAAATTAGCCAACAGTAAAGGACGAAACTTGCTGATCTTTACCCTTTCTCCCAGTTCACGGGTGATGCGGCTATCAGAAATGACGTCTTCTCATCAGGTGTAGTTCCTCGCATATGATAAGCTCTTGTTTTCACATCAGAATCCATAAGGACGAGCAAGGATGGGTGATGAGGTATTGAGGTCAAAGTATCCGTCCAAGAAACTGATCAGTTTGGGTGTTTGTTTCACTCCCTTTGACAAAACTATCAGGGACATTGTGGACTGTCTCAGGAGCAAAGGACTCATCTAGAACATATGCTGGATAAATTGCTAGATTGCGTAGACATCTGTTTTTCATGAGTTTTGGTTCATTCAAAGTAAAGACGGGTCATAGACTCGTTTTTAGATGGACACTTGGTTGGGTAGTCAACCTCTCAAAGATAAATTTCCCGCGTTGTTCAACATTGTGAGAAGAAAGCAAGATTCCATGGTAAAAGTACTTGCATCAGTCCCGCTGAACATTTCCTTTCGCCGCAATCTAGCGGGTCGGAACCTGAGGGACCGGCATAGTATCGTTGCATCTCTACAAGATGTGAACTTACAAGAAGAAAGAGATGTTTTTATTTGGACATTGCATTCATCATGTAGCTTTTCTGTTAAATCTTTGTATGCTGCGTTAATTAACAATAAGGTCAGAGTGTCACAAGATTTATGACAGATCAAAATTCCTACAAGAATTAAAATATTCTTGTGGTATCTAAAAAGAGGTGTCATTTTAACCAAGGACAACCTTGCCCACCGTAACGGGAATGGTGACAAAAGATGCTGCTTCTGTCACTGCCCAGAAACCATTCAACACCTCTTTTTTCAATGTTATTATGCCAAATTCCTATGGCGCGCTGTACATTTAATGTTTGGGATATCACCCCCCATAGCATAGACGATTTATTTGTTAATTGGTCTAAAGCGGGTGGTAACATACATAATTTGTTATTATTAACAGCGGCATCAGCCTTATGTTGGACAATTTGGATAACAAGAAATGAAGTGATTTTTGACGAGTGTAGACCGAAAACTTTTTTGCAGGTATTATTCAGGGGAACCCATTGGCTAAGTCAATGGGCAAGACTGCAGCGGCATGATGATCTTCGAGACCAATTGACCCTTGCTGGACAACATTTGGAGACGTCGGCATTGCATTTTTTTAGTTCCAATGGGTGGTTGTCATCTAGGTTTATTGGTATATAGTAGTCAGGATCTGCGCTTCACGCTTTGTTATCCTCGAGTCTGGTTGTAGAGTCGTTTTGGTTCTTGTCGTCATTACCGTCGGCCCAAACTTTTTAATAATTGGCCTGATTCTACCTCTGTGTAGATGAAGCCGGATATAAACTATCCTTTATCTAAAAAAATCTGTTTTTTGTCACATGAAGGAATGTTGCATATGGACATCTCTGTAAGACTGTAGACCATGCCTTTCTTGCTTTCGTTGCATGGATCTTTGTAACTGAACCTCGTTAATTTTCTCTTTATTAGTCTCATTCATACATAGAATTGTGAGATTGCAACTTATTGGACACAATAAGTGGCCCCAGGCCCAGGAGCGAGAAAGAGACCTAAACTGCAGCACTTTGAACCTCCACCTATCAACTCTTGATGCCCCGGTCTCGAAGGAGAAATGGCTTGTCGGGTACAGCTCAGCTTCACCGGTGAAACAGTTTTTTGTGATTTTAACTTGAAAAGCAGTTTTACCGGTAAAGCTGGAACCGTTTGGTAAAACAACTTCTCCTGACTGATGAAAAAGATAAAATGACCGTTATACCCTTATGTTTTTCTCTTTGTTTTTCTTTTCGACCTCTCCTTTTTCTTCCTCGCCGATCGTGGCGGTCTTCTCTCTCCCGATGCCTCTCTTCCCCCACGACAACGCCTCATGCACACCCCGCTCTCCCCGGCCGGTGGCGCCTCCGTGTTCCCGTGCCTCGACGCCCTAGCCACACCGCCCCTCCCGGCGTCTCTGCCCCTCCTTGTCGGCCCCTCCCCACACGGGCATGTCGTCGCTCCTTGGTGTGCTATCGCCTCCGTCGTGCGAACGGACATGGGAGCAAAAGAGACCATGGTGAAGATGGACCCCACCAGACGCAGGTGAAGCTGGGTGAAGCTAGAATTTTTGGCTCTTCCTCGCTCTCTCCTCCCTTGCCTCAGCTGAAATTCTAGGGCTCATGGCGTGAAACTGGGTGGGTGGAGGCCATTTGGCGCAGAACAGCTCTGAACGGCTCCAGAAGTTAATCCATAATCGGTACCAAACGGGCCCACAGTGTCAAGAGCAACTTCTCAAATGCTAAAGGACAATACGCCAAGGCCAGAAGGATTCTCATGACTTTTCTTCAACGAATGCTAGCCAATAATCAAGTATGACATCATAGTGGTCGAGTTTAAGACCATGTTTGGCAAAGCTCCCAGAGCTGATTCTCGGCTGAATCCAGCAGGAGCTAAAAGTAGCTTCTTTCGATTCTGTGAAGTAACTCTCCATCGTGATTTTGAAAATTTCAAGAGAATTGATCTCTTTCAGCCACAAAATCACCTCTCAGAGATAAATCACTTCTCTCAGGGGAAAAAAATCAGAAAGCCCTGCCAAAGAGAGAACTTTTAACCGCGGATACAGCCTTGCTTGTTGGGACGTCTCCATAGACGAGTAGCAAGATTTTTTTTCACAGTATGACACGTCTGTGTGGCAGCTATTGCTTGTGGACGCCGGGCGGGGCGCTGCTAGTCGCGCGAGGCACCAGAGGCCGAACGTTGCTCCGTCTCTTTCCACGTGCCGGCTCGCGCCTTTGGTTCGACTGCGACACAGGTGATTCCGTGCGAATTTAAGAGCGGCAGGCGGGCAGGCCAGTCCACCAACGCCGGCGCAACGAAATGGCGGCAGCCGGGGACGGCGGCCTCCTCGTCTGCGTGACGGGCGCCAGCGGCTTCATTGGCTCCTGGCTCGTCCGCTGCCTCCTGGACCGCGGCTACACCGTCCACGCCACCGTCAAGAACCTCCGTAAGTGACACATGTGCTCCGATGCTGGCTCAGCTCACAGACCTCTTCCTGCTCGCCGTGTAGCCTCAAATTCAGTTGCCGGCTGAACCTGACACACTGGTGGATTTTCGCTGCAGAAGATGAGGGCGAGACGAAGCACTTGCAGGCCATGGGCGGCGCCGACACGCGTCTCCGGCTGTTCCAGATGGACCTCGTCGACCCTGCTTCCGTTCGGCCAGCGATCGAAGGCGCCCCGCGCCCACGGTGTCTTCCACCTGGCGTCTCCTATGATACTGCAGGCAGAAGATCCGGAGGCACTTCTTTCTCCATGATCGATCACCCGATCGTTGCATAATCTGATTGCTCGAGTAAGTAACACTTGTATATTGGTTCCGCGCATATGCAGATGGAGCTGCTGGAACCTGCGGTGAAGGGCACGCTCAACGTTCTGCGTGCCGCGAAAGATTGTGGAGTGGGCCGCGTTATGCTCATGTCGTCACAGGCGGCCATGGTGCCGAATCCCAACTGGCCTGCAGGCAGGGTCATAGATGATGATTCTTGGGCCGACGTTGCTCAAGAAGCTTCAGGTCAACTGTATCTCCATACTGGCTGTTTTGCTGCACTGTTGCAGAAGCTATGGTTCAGGGCTTCATGCTTGTGCTCATTTATGCTCGGAGTTGCAGATTTGGTACAGCGTTTCCAAAACACTGGCAGAGAAGGCCGCATGGGTTGCAGACAGCGGTGCTCAATCCAGGGATGGTATTGGGCCCAATGTTAACACCATCAGTTAACGCCAGTCTGCGTCTGTTGCTGCAAATTCTGGGAGGTCAGTCAATCACTGTCTCTTGTTGTGTTGCGAATCTACAAAAGATGAATGTGTACCAGTATATATGCTCATGGTACAAAGTGTATAGCTTCTAAGAGTGCAAACTACCCAGGCGAGAGGCTTGACTTGGACGACATCGGGCTGTGTTGATGTGAGAGACGTCGCGCACTCTCTGATAATGTTGTACGAGAACCCATCAGCGCAAGGACGCCACTAATGCATCGAATCCGTTGAACGCCTGGTTGATTTGGCCAAATAAGATTGCTGATCTTTACCCTGAACACCCGGTTCAGAGGTGATACATCTATGAAAACCACTTCTACCTGATACAAAATGTCAAAATGTTCTCCAATTTACTAATGTTTTCTTTTTTTCATAAAAAAAACTAATGTTTTCTTTTCAAAATAGAATCCGGGAGGACAAGCAAGGCTGGGTGGTGCGAACAAAGGAGCCTTCCAAGAAATTGATCAAATTGGGTGTTCGTTTCACTCCACTGGACGAAACCATCAAGGACACCGTAGATTGCTTTAGGAGCAAAGGACTCATCTAGCCTATGAAGTATGCTTTATGAAAAACTTTTGTAAACACTATGTGGGGCAGATCAAATAAATTACCTAACTGAAGTAAAAATAAAATCAGCCTTCAAAAGCATAAATGCCACGTGGACATCATCATTAGATAAACATGTTGCCTGAATGCATATACTCTTTCCAGTAACATAATTCTTGAGCTTTTGGATACCGACATGGTATCAAAAACAGTTTTGACTATGATTTTCTATTTATATTGGAGTATACAATAAAAATAAACATTTTTATAAAAGTACTTTATAAGATTAATATTCACATGCCATCTAAGGATATGCTTAGATCTGTTAGCAATGAAAATTAGCAGCTAAAATTAGTACCAATGAATCCAAACAGACCTGCTAATAAACCTAATAATTATTAACTGCCGCTACTATTAGTTCTATTAGCTGGTTTAAAGTTGTTAATATGTTCTAATAAGTTATATCCACCTTCAACTCACATCCAACTACCTATCCTACTAAAAATTTGTTAGCTAAAAAATAGTAGCTATTAACTATTAACTAGCTAATTTTTAGTGCTAATGGATCCAAACAGGCTTTAAGTGTCTTGAAACTAAATATTTCAAAAATTACTGGTAGTCGAAGTTTTAAAAAACTGACATTAATCTTGTTTAAAATGACAAGAATTGTGGAACGAGGGAGTGCATATCTTGCATATGGTTTTTTTCCACGTGCTTTTGTAGTTAAACTCCGTATCTGACTACTACCTCCACTCAAAATTTAAAGTTAATAACTGGCCGGACTTTGTTAATTTCAGCTGCTGTCATTTCACTTAAGAATGTTAAGCTCTGTACCGCTGCTGAGACACACCAGAAAAAATTTAGGAATGAAAGAAGGAAAGTGTTCATTTTATGACATACTGTTATTGTTGAGTCCAGGTTTTTTCACCAACTACAAAATCAGACAGATTGCCTCCTCAACATTCGAAACCATTTAAATTACATCCCGCAGTTTCTAAGACGGAGTATCATTTTTTATTTAAAATATCTGGTAAACAGCTAATAAGGTTTCTATAAGATTATAAAAGTTCCAAAGGAAAAATACAATATTTACAGCTCATGAAAAATATATCTAGAAGCTTCCGGAAGTTTTACTTATCTCTAGAAAAATGAGAACTATCTAGAAAAATATGGAAATGGAAAATTTGTAAAACTTTCTAATCGATGTCTAATTGCGCTGGGCAAACATTCCCCAACAAAAACACATGGTGTGTTGGGCTCGGCATAATTAACTGAAGTAAAAGAACTAAGACCAAAACCGAAGTAACTGGAAATGAATGATCATTTCGGTCCTGGGTAGCAAAGAACTAGAGTTTTTTTTTATTTCTATGATTAATTGTTTTTTTTATTATCGACTAGTATAATGCCCGTGCCAACACTACGGCAACACAAAACCAAACAAATCAAATAACTAAAAGGCATATATGTCAAGCTATTAAGCATCTCTGAGATATATTTATGATTCACACAAGAAGAAATCACATGTTATGGCTACATATTCCCACCAAGGCAGCCAACACTTTTACTGCACCCAGCAACACCAAATCGGCAGCCAAGAAGACAATGCAAAGACAAGTACATCTGCAAGAGCACACGCCTTGTCAGCAAAATGTCTTCAGCAGCTCTTCAAGCTCACCTACATTCAGAAGCCACCCTCAGACCTCCCAATCAACTGGTGCATGATATTTTGGATGTCTAGTGCACTCATCTGTTTAGCCACAGCACACTTTAAGATGTGGTGAATAGTATCTTCTTCCCTGCAGTGTTTGAAAAGTCAAGTAACAAATCTTTGTGAAGATCAACACAGGCTTAAAGAAATACAACAACCCAAGAATTTACCTGCCATCTATCTAAGAGAAGTACAGGAGGACTTTAGTTGACCCAAGAGAATACTGTTCAAATGCTTTTTGGTTCTAAAAATTAAATGACAAATGAAGTACACACTGCAATATCCTGGCAGAATTAAAAATTGACATCACATCCCCAACTTGGCGTTTCCTAATCTGAGTCTGAACACTCAAGTGGACCACGGTGCATGAAACCGAAAATACAGCAGGGTTAGCCTCAGGTGAATTTGCCTCTTCTCAAAATTGAAATGTAAATATACCTCGTGAACCTGAGACGTCACTTTGCATCCTGTATTAGAGGGCTTAGACGCCAGCAGGATCAGGGCTGCGTTCAACCTGTCGACTGCCATCATTTGTCGTGTCGTGCCCAACTACGAATCATATTTTCACAGGCAACGACTATAAAGTGACCCTGTGAGAAGGGAAAATCATAGAAATTCAATAGATAAATTAATATGGGTAAAACATCTGCATCTCATACAACTATAAGGCTGTGAAAAATGAAGTACCTCTACTCAAGAGGCTTGATTTGTCCCAAAACTTCAGCTGCACCGAATACAGCTGCAAAGCCTCCCATGTCAAATTTCATCAGCTCGATGCTGTAGCCTGGCCTGGTCTGTTGTACTGGAGTCATAGGCAAATCAAGCATAAGAAAAACAACAAACTGTTCCTCCTTCATGCCTACTTCTAGTTTTTCATAAAGCCACTAAATATGTTGCAAGTACTATAAAGTACAAACCTTTCAAAAGTTAAACCCTTCCAAATAATAGCTAGCTTTCTCTTGACGTTCCCATCAGTGGGTTTGTAACACAATAGCAATTCCCAAGTAGGAACACATCTTCAACTCTTTGTATTTCTCTACATCTAGTATTGTGGCAGTGAACACATCACCGTAAGTAGAAGCGATCTTTGACGCCTCCTCCGCAAGCACAGCTGAAAGGACAAAGGATGACTGCAATAAGTATACTGACAATAAATCTATGAAGAACAATCAAAGTTTGATGTAAGATCTTCTGACAAGGGGTAAGGACATTTACAGGAGAGTTCACAAACTCTCTTCCGAATATCACACCTAACGAAAGATCATTAGCATACTTGTTTCTAATCCACCTCGGCACCATAACCCAGTCCAATAATATCAACCTGTTTCAGGTGCACCTTTTTTTGATCCAGATTTGTATCTGCTGTCCTCATACAACCCCAGCACAGTTCCTGTGATTAAGACCGGCAGAAAATTCAGGCTCAATCCACTGCACTCCATAACCATCAAAACAGGAAAGAAAATAAGGCCTGTGCAGGAGAATCAACTTACAAGAATAAATCAACAAAAATTAACAATACAAAAAAGCAGAAGTAATCTGAATGGTTACTATTTCTCGACAACAGGGTATGTTGCCTGCAAAGAATTTTTTGTTTGTTATTAGCATGTATGGCCATGAAAGGCATTATCCGTTTATCTGCGCATTGTCTAGTTAACATGAACACATAAATGAAAATCCTATCGGGTTTAAATTTTGCAACGCCACTACCAAGCTAACACAATAGTATTACTATACTACTATTGAACAAAGGACCATATTTGCATCGTGAACCCAATAAATTCTTTTCATGTCACCATTGATCCATCATTTGTGGCAACTCACAAACAAAGTATCAAGAGATTTACCGGTTTCAAAAAACAGCAAACATTTATGCTCCTGAGATCCCCCATCTACACCTAACGTAACCTTCCAAGAAAGAAATGAAAAAAAAATCCATCCTGGAGAATCCAAGCTATCAAACCACCATGACCTCAGGAAAACCAAAAGGAATTAGCACAAATAAGAACTCACGGCTGCTTCTCCTCGACGACGATGAAGTCAGCGAAGGACCTGACGTCGGCAAAGGAGCAGAGGCGGTCGCCGGGCCGGAGCCCACGCACGACGGGCACGACTGCGTCGACCACGCCACGCCAGAGTAGTCGGATCCAGGCACGAACAGCAGCGGGGGGCCGCTACTAGTACTTGCCTACATCTGGAGTCGACAGCCGTCAGCGATGAGATCTCCGGCACCGGGTGGTCCTAGACCGCAGCGAACAGGGAGGCTTGAACCGAACAGTGCGGCCGGGGCGGCCCGCGCTGCCCAGGAAGCCGCACGCGGAGGCGGCAGGCGTGCGCGCAGGTGGCGGCGAGTGTGGCCCTGGCGAGGGCGCCGCCGCGCAGCATGGGTCGGGTCGGCGAGCGCGGCTCCGCGCGGCCTGGGTCGGGGTGCGAGCACGACTGGCGAGGTCCACCGTGCGGCCTGGAGATGGGCGGCGAGCGGCACCGGTAGGAACCCTAGCCGCGGATCGGGAAGTGACTGGGAGGGGAGGTGAGAGGAGGATGATGTTTCATTTTTTTGGAGAAAAAGAAAAGGACAAGCCACGAATCGAACCCTGGCCGATGGGCAGGGGCATGGCTGCGTGGGGCACGTTTGAAGCCTCGCGTGATGAGGGTGCGTTTGAAGCCTGCCATCAAACTTCCAACATCGGCTGTTGGACTGGGTTTGAGTGTTTTCTTAGCTTTGATTTTAATGTAGATAATTTGCTATGCGTATTTTTTTAGATACATAATGGTTGAAGGCTCTTAACGGGTGATATTTTCTTGAAGAGACATAGTATAATTTTGATTGGTCCATTATAGTAGAAATTAACCGAATAACCTGAGAAAACGAAGAGTTATGGCCATAGACACATTACAAGCCTTCTAAGCGTAAGTATTTATCTAGAGACTAGTCAATACTCACCCAGACACTAGAGCCTTAGCCTCCACCTTTCACGTAGGCCAATGACGACATATTTCATCCTCATCCACACCGGCAAGAACAACCTAAAACACAGGAAGTGGTGCTCAAACTTTGTTTAGAATCTATCTATTTTTTTTTTAGTTTTGCCTCAAAATATTCGGTTAGAACTGAAACCAAATCGAAATAATGGAAACCAAAATGCACGGTTTCTATAATTTCTCAGATAATTTTTTGTTTTCCCATTCTTTTCAGTAGTGCTTCCATAATTG